ATACCGGCGCTACAGGCAAACAGTCCCATATAGTCGGATGGAGCACCTAAAATGATAATGCAAGCAAAAAATTAAGATCATCAAAAGTAACGTGTTCCCATTTGAGTACGATAATTATGCGACTTAAACCCAAATCTTGATTATTTTTTTCATTTTAAAATTTAGAACATTTTATGAGATTTGTGAGACTAAAAAATCAAAAAAAGCCTTATTAGTATGAGCCTGTTCCGCAAAGTTCAAATCTCCCACCATCATGTAAAGGCTTCACAAAGTCGCTCATACAAAGATGCGGTTGATCGTGTTCACGTCCAGACTGTTGTCGTAATCCATAGAAAATTGCCTTTTCCTTCCCGTTTTCGAAAATCTTAGAAAGAAAGTTTATTTCCGCAACTGTTCAGAAGAAGTCATTCAGTATTTGAAGGGAAATTTTTCCCCAATTCGTAAAAGTTGCGTTGAGGGTTATTTCAGTCAAACTCACATGGATGTCATCTCCCACAGATCCAGCCTCGAAAAATCCTATAACGGCATTTGCCTTAAGCTTCTTCTCTTTGATTATGTTGCTTAGCCATTTTTGGGCGTCCTAAATACTAAATTTTTTGAAAAAGCAGCAAGTAAAGAAAAATTTCGCGTTTACACTTGGTCAATGAAGCACTTTATTTTAGGTAACCTATCTTTATCGATAATTATACACAATTATGTACAAATGCGACTTTGAGCGTTATGTTCCTTTATAAAAGGGACATCACTATTCTACAATAACCAATCTTAATTCTACTATTTCTATATAGAAAAAATCGAATAACCAACATCATAAACTTTTTTGGCTTCCGCCCCAACTTGCTCATCCTTGAATATCCTCGGATATGATCTGTTCGGATACTTCCCTCTCAGTTGCCAGACATCAAAGAATGGCTTCCAGTCAATATATGGGATAAGCTTACTGAGGTCAAAGTCCAGGAACTCCTTTCGACCAAGGAACGACGGTTTCACTAGATATACTTGCTACGATATGTTTTACGAAAAATGAGCAATTTGATACCTGGAGCAAATTTGTCAAAGTCAATACGTAAAGCTTTCGTTCTAGCAACATCTATAGCA